TGAGCATTTTTACAGCAAAAAAAAAACGATACGAAATATAAGGTTTGGCCTTTCCACCGCTCTAAAGTTGAACTTAGCTGTCACCTAAGGGCGCCTAAGCTGAGAAATACAAATAAAGGAATGCATACTCTGCTCTTCGTGCGTGAAGAAGAAGAGTAAATACAAAAGGATAAAAAATTAACAAAAAGTACCTTTCCAGGATCATCCGAGTAGTAGTTGAGGCCTTTGAGCATTACACTAAAAAGTTACTGTTTCATCAAATGTATAAATCAAATGAAATCTCTTTGAACATTTATATGAACATTTTAGATGCTCGAATCGAAGTGAGCACCACTGGTGTGATTACGTATTAATTTGGAGAATTCAGATGTCAAGTTTTACTTCTAAGAAAAGACTAGTTCGAGCAAGCGACTTACTTAGCATGAAAATTGTAGAGTTCAGTAACGTTCAAAGCCAATTTCTCTTTGTTGGCTGCAATATTTGGAGGTACATTAGTATCGTCAAGTACTCGAATGTAATTGTCGACACATGTGCGAAGTTCCGAGACAAACTCTTCTTCAGATCGTAAGAGATCATGGTAGACTTGGCTGAAAAAGGGGAAAATCTTAGAAACAGGTGCAGAGAGTTATTTTTTAGAGAAAAAAGTTGAGTTTTTAGAGTATTCTTTTTCTCCACATATGTTCTTTTCACTACCTCTTTTTTTACACTGATTTATCGCTGTTCTATAACATTTTTTGGAAGATTCCAGATTTTTCTCAGATAATCAATCCATTCGTCGCTTTTCTCAACACAAAATCCATGCTGTTCGTGTCGATCAACTCGAGCCATCATCTCCGCCCACACACTCTCTTCTCTCACATTGTTTAAACTGCCACCAGCAGCACACGTCAATAATGGAGGTTCTTCGAACATCTAAGTACACATCAAGACAAAATCCTGTCGACAGTGTTATACTTTCATGCTTTTATGTACCAGTTGTCCGACAAATGTGCGCATATGGGACATTGCAACAGAGTTGGAAGGGTTGAATTATGCATTTAAATGATAACTGATACTAGTTGGCTATTTAACTGGTCACAAGCTTATTTCATACACAAAGTTTCGAGCAAACTTCTGTCATCAAACACTCGAACAACTGTTTGATGAGACGAGACAAGACTGAAGAGTAAGGCGTGCAAATGACAGCTCCAAATCTTTACAATGCTAGTAGAGGCGAAGAAAACTCGTATGATGATGAAATCTCAAGTCCTATGCGATCTGTTCAAAATTTGCAATCTATTAATAACTTTCTCTTTGCTTTCAAACATACGACAATGTATGTCAATTTGAAAAAAAAAATCATAGAAAATTTATTAAGTATGCAATCTTAACTCAAATCTAAGGTTGAAGCAACGTGTGATTTTTAGAAGGTCATAATATTCCAGGCTAGTTCTTCCCAATTTTGCTAATTACGTATGCCTTTTTATTTTTGTTTTTTTTTTCCACAAACGTTCATAGAAAATCAATAGTTGTTTAATCTCAAAAAATTCATCACAACCTGTGATCCCGCACCCAAGCTGATCCTCGGCCTTGGTTCACCAATTATTTATCCG